GAGTGATATTAATTAAATGCATGCACTTATTTTAGGGTTACTTGCGTGTAATTATGCATCATTAATTGTTGTTATTATAGTAAGTGCATGTGCAACAAGCACACCATAAAATATAAAGTGTTACCAAATTTCCTGCAATTGTCCTGAGTTCTATAACAAAATGCATTATTACTTAGAAATGATAAAATGTGCATATTTAAATACATTTATTTCATCTCTGTCATCTTTGGACGTGATATTTAAGCAATATTCGAAGAGTTCAAATGCAAAAGCCTTCAAGTGCCATCTGAAATTTTCTTCTAAAATGAGCATTTTATGTTCAGTTATTTCACTTTAATGTCAAAGAAAAGAACCTATTCGTTGCCATTGAAGCGAAGTTACTGAACCTACACACAGGAGTATGAAAAAAATGCTCATTTTTGAAGAACATTTCAAACAGCACTTTTGAAGTCACTCTTCATTTATACTTTCCGTAAATGATTCAGTATCTTTTCATCTTAAAGTCTAAAATCAGTTATATTTTGTCATGTTTGTGTGTAATTCAGTCATGTTTTGTGTGTAAACTAGTGGGCATATTCCTGATCCAATTCCCTTCTCTCCTCAGTAGTTTTGTTTTGTCTAACTCTCCTGTTAATTAAAGGTAGAAAAGCCCCAAAAATACATATATATAAAACCCCTGAATGCATTGATGAACATCACTCTGAGTGAAAGTGAATCTTGACCGATGGTCGCTCGACAGGCTGTTGACGGAGAATGAAAAGAGACCGTTTGTGGAGGAAGCCGAAAGACTGAGAGTTCAGCACAAGAAAGATCACCCGGATTACAAATACCAGCCGAGGCGGCGGAAGAGTGTGAAGCCCGGTCAGAGCGAGTCTGACGCCGGCGCTGATCTGACCCAACTCATGTATAAAGCTGAACCTGGGATGGGCCGACTGGCGGGTCCATTGGATCACATCACCGATCATACAGGTGAGATACACACTCTCTATGTGATGCATGCAAATATTCATTAACTACATGCACTTACTATATGGTCACGATTAGGGTTTGGCTTACTGTTACTTGCATGTAATTATGCATAATTTGTTGTTATTATAATAG